CGGGGGCTCCCATCGCTCAGGGACACAGCAGAACACCCAGACCCTGTGGGCTGAGCTCAGCTGCAGGCCCCCACACTCGGCACGTGGGGACCTCAGAGCGGGGGGCTGCTGACACTGGTCGTGCAGCACCGTGTCCCGAGCAGCGATGCTCGCTGGCTGGCTGGGTTACCGCCGTCCCCTCAAGCAGCAGAACCTTGCCGTTAACGTGAGGGGCTGTGTTTGCTTCCACTGAAAACCACCGTGCCAGGGAGGGCAGCATGCAATTAGGTTTCTGGTTCTCTGTTACTTGACCTCTTAATATTTAACTAAATAGCAACACAGCTATGGCTCAGGACACCTGGAGGGAAAGCAGCCAGGTTGGAGGGGGAAAGCCCCACACGGCCCTGGCACAGTGCAACACCCCCAGCCCTACACACCTCCACATTTTCCCCCTTTTCTATTTCCCCCTGCCCCCTCTCTTGCTAGCGGTCAGGAAAACTGACATAAAACCTCCCCACCGCTAAACTTTCTACTCTGTGTGTCAAAGCGTACATTTTCTTTCAAACTGCTAGCACTTCACTTTCATCCAGTCTCCTCATCGCTTGGCCTCTGATGCCAAATGGGTCCCATCAGCCAGCAGCACGGCACAGGGACCATGGTGAGGCGTTTGCAGCCTGACCCAGCGCCGGGAGCATCTTCCCTCCTCCCAGTCCATTCTTGTGGTGGCTCAGGGTGGCAGGGAGGGGCTTGCAGAAGAACCACTGTGCACACACCTGCCCCAGGGATGATCTTCAGGGTGATTTGTGCAGCTGACCCACCAGGAACGGGGCAGAGGGCAGTGCAGCAGGACCCCAGCCCTGCTGCTGCTGCTGCATGGAGTCTCTGCTGACTTGTAAGGACTGAGCTTCACACTCTTTTCTGCTCACCTGCCCAATTCCATCACACCAGGGCTGTCACTGTCCTTCCCCTGCCCCAGATCCTGTCCCTGGCAGCATGTGCCAGCAGGGAGGCTCCTCTCCAGCATCCTGCAGTCACCAGTAACCACAGCAACCTGATGCCTCCAGGACCTCCAGTGCCTTTGTGCCCCTTTGCCAAAGTACTACATTTGCTCCTGGTAAGTGAAGGGATTTTCTCCTTCCCAGAGTCAGCAGGAGGCCTGCACCTTGCACACACATTGCCATGGCCAAAGCGCTTGCAGCAAGGTCTGTGCGCTCACAACAAGTTCTCAAGGCCAGTGTGTACCTTGAGGCAGAAATGGGGACTTCGGGACCGGGGATGTTTCTAAACCAAAGAATGCCTCCGGTCACAGATGCTCACACAAAGCTTGCACTCCAGCTGGGTTTCCCTGTTCGACAGGGCCAGCATGTGCTGCTTCTGGGCCTGGAGACCAGCCATGTGCCGTGAACACCATCACGCTGAGCCCAGCCCCACCGTGACACGTCTTGCCCCCTGCCCCAGCCCACTGCCTCCCAACCAGCCAACTGGGAGAAGATGCCACCGTGGAGGTTCAGTGCTCAGCCAGCTGCTCACACCTCATGAGCCGGTAAACAACCACAGGCATGGCTGCTCCCCGCTCTGGGAATGGGCAGAGACTCTGCTGAATCATGCGGCTGGTATTTATGTCCTGACAGCTGCTCCGGGACCATGCTGCTGCGCCCAACCCCTTGACCCCATCAAACAGCTTCTGCTGCCGAGGGGGGTCACCACCAGAGCAGCAGCCCCCCTCCTCCTCCCACCCTGCTGAGACCCCTACAAACACTGGGGTGCTCCTAGACGCAAGACATGCAAATCCACCATCTTGGATGAGCCCTTTGCCTTCAGACGTGGCACTGGGCAGCCCAGTGACACAAAAGGTGGGGGGGGATGAGATGGCCATGCCCCTGGAGAGCCAGGGGGACCTTGGCATCTACCACCAGGTTTTGGCTGGCTGAACATGGGCAGCCACTGGGAACACCAAGGCTTTTGCCACTGAAACAATCCTGCTGCTATATCAGCTTGGGCCACAATGGGTCCCTGTCCTCCCTCTGTGGCCTCTCCGGGTCTTTGCAAGGGGGGAATCAGGACAGGAGGGAGTGGGGCCAAAGGTCTTGGAGGAGAGCTCGAGGGAGTTCTGTTTCCCTGTGGTGGAGGGGTCTGCAAGGGAGAAACCAGTAATGGTGGAAAGGATGAAGTGTTTTTATTCGTGTCTGTTCCCGCACTGTACCCTGGGAACCCCATGAAGCAGAGGCACAGCTCATTGAGGTGGGACCTGATGGCACCAGGCAGAGCAAACCTGGGCCTTTCTCACACAAACTCGTTTCAGTGGGCACAACCCAGCTGCACTATGGGTCTCGGCTCAGGAGACCTCCAAGGTTGAGGGGCTTCACTTTGCCCCAGGCCCAGGACAGCCCTGGGCTGTGCTGGGGAGCCATGGCCAGCACAGGAGGAGCAGGCAATGCTCAAAATACCTGGGGGCTTGGCAGCAGGCATGGCGCCAGGCAAGCTGAGTAAGCACAAACTTCGGGACACAGCTGTTCATCGGCCAAAAACAAATCGAGAAACAACCCGGCAGGCTGTGACCCCCCCGCCCCGTCAGAGAGACTGCAGCGTTTGCATCGCTGCCGCCACAGGCCCCGGTGTGGGCACCAGGCCCATCTGATAACAGCAGATCTGTGCTGCAGGGGAGGGGGGAACCAGCTCTGACAAAGGCCAGCAACTCATCCCAGCCTTCCCAGGCTACTCGCCGTGGGATGCTGTGGGGCTTGCCTCCAGCTGGGGGGCTGCTGGACTGCCCCTCCACCCCGGTCCAGACTTTTCCTATCTAAACAAAAGAACCCCCGGGATGTGTTGCACAGGGAGGGTGAGTGAGGGGCCAGAGGCAGCAGGCTTTGGGGAGAGGCAAGTGGAGTTTATTCACCAGAGTGGGACAGTGTCTCGGCTCCCTGCCAAGCTCCGCTAGGAGCGGGTCACCACGGGACGAGCCCAGGCAGGACATGCAGAGGAGACGAGGATATTTGGCTGTGGGAGCCCGGGCTGTGCTGGGCAGGAAGCAAGCACAGCACAGGCTCTCACCGCTGACGCATGTCCCTGTCCCCGAGTGCCGAGGGGCACCCAGGGAGCCCCAGGCTCCCATCGCCCGGCAGCACAGCCTCATGCTTTCTGCAGAGCCTGCTGTTTTGCTTCTGTCCTGGAGGTTTTCTCATATTTCCTGCCCCAGGAAGTTTTTGATGACTACATGTAACATAGCAGCTTAACTGCACCTTAGCCTTCCTTAGCCTCAAGTTAGGTAGGACAAGCTCCGAGAGCAGGTTGCCAGCAAGCACCAAGACACACGATTCTCTCCTCCTCCTTCATCTTCAGCCAACACCCATCTACTGGGTTGTACAAACACACGACAATGTGCTGCAGGAAAATCGCACAGGTGTTCCCAGAGTGGGAGTTTGTGTTGTCAGAGCAGAAGAGTCCCTCAGGAACACCAAGGCGATGCTGCAGTACGCACTGGTCCCAGGAGCCCCCGTTGTGCCCAGGGGACTCTCTCACTGAGCTACCGCATGTGCTCTGCGGCGCCTGACCCCACGCAGCACACCCCAAGCCTGCCAGGACGCCCGCTGGGTCCTTGCCCTTGGAGCCAATTTCAGTGGCTGAAAATATGTCATGTAAGCAGTGCTGCACTGCCACAGGCTCTAGGAAAAACAGACTTCAGGTACTATTGGCATCAACACTTACAGCACATTGTAAAGAAAAACACTGAGCAGTGGATTGACACTCGTTTGCTCTCAGTTGTGCTGCTGTTTGCAACTCCGTTTTGAAACGACATATTCATGACTCCCAGAAGATGCTTGTCCCTTAGAGCTGGCAGCGGGTGGGGTTGGGTGCTCAGGTGTTAGAGATGCACGCCGGACCGTGTCCTCACACCACCAGCATTTCACACCCACAGTGTGCATTCAGGGAAGAGTTCTGCTTAGGCCTTGCTGGCTTTCTACAGAGGGGTACATGTGAGGATCAAGCACCTTTCTAAAGCTCCAAAGCTGGAGTTTTAAGAGTCCTCTGCCTGTGTGTTTTCCCCTGAAGAGGCACCAGCTGTCCCGCCCTGCACCACTCCTCTTCCCCACAGCAGCTGCCCCTGGTCCAGGTCTAAAAACTGAAGCACCAACAGCCACACAGATAGTCCTTCTCCTCCTCAGGCACATGTGAGCTTAGGAAACATGGTTTGTGCCCTGTTTGTTTTGACAGTCTTGAAAAGCCTGAAAAACCCCAAGAAGTCATAAAGCAGGCACACTACTGCTTCCTCCTGACTTTTTAAGATTAGAAACATCAGCTTGGCTTATTGGTACTCACCTCTCTGTCCAGAGGAGTAGGGGGTTCCCTCACCCTTAGTGGGATGGCAGGAAAGCAAACACCGAGATTTGTGTCTTACGCCAACAGAAATGTTGGCAAAGGCTCTCCCACTGGCCGTTCCCAGGATATACACAGCACCCCCCCACTCCACAAGGACTGATGTGCTTTTTTAGCTTCCTCTGTGATGCAAGGAACACCACCAGGTGCCAATATGTACAGAATTCCTAGGGGTGGCACTAGGGATCTTTAATTCTCTTCTCAAAAGATACACGTGGTCGGTGAACACAGTTGGAAGTGACCAGTCCCCAGGCGGCCGCAGCGCACACTGAGCCAGCCTGGCTCTGGGGCACACACAGCCTTTCTGTCACCACTCAAACTCCAGGCATCCAGGAACAAGGTCTCCTGAATCCAAATCAAAGTCCTTCATGCTTAAAAGCACCCTAAGACACAAACCAAAGAGCCATCTTCATCAGCTGTTCTGATGGAAAAGAAAGTCTGTGACGGCCAAAGGAGTGAGATTCTCCTAAACCTTGTAAGGTAAAAACGCTCTCTTCAAACATGTGGGTAAAATACTGAAATAAGCACCACTTGTCTTGCTCTGCCATCTGTATCCATAACTCCAGATAAAAAACCAGAACAAAACCACAAACTAAAGACAAATCTTGTTCTTAACCTACAGAATGATACACATACACACAGGCAAGTTATCAGAAAATGCATTATATTTTGGTTTCCACCTCATTTAAAACTGATTTTGGTTTTCAATCAATCAAATCTGAATATGTCTGAGTTCAGTTTTCAATTTTTTTTTTCCCCCCTTAACAGTAATGATCTGGACGACCATAATTATAAAAGGGATGGGGAGAAACTTTGAGAACAAGAGAACAAGATACATAGTCTGAACTGTGCTCTCTTCCACGCGAGCACTCTAGGGAATGTTAGTTTCAGCTCTTTGTGTTTTGGGGTTTTTTTCCTTCAGGTTGTTACTAACAAAATCTCTACCGTTTATTAAAGCAAAGCTACAGTAATTTTTCTTGCAGTCTTACAGCAGGCTTTCATATTACCAGTAGGACTCGCATGCATGGATTGCAGTCACACACACACGCTCACAGACATTATACAGTAGCCAGTTGCCACCATTAAAAAAAAAAGAAAAAGAAAACAGACATTCATTTCTTTTAAGTGGTCAACATTAGAATCGCACCAAACTTTTGGATCAAAAAAAAAATACTGCACAGGTCTTCCACATCTACATGGTAAGTCATCCCTTCGCAACGGACGGAGCTCTCGTCTCCATTTGTTCAACATGCATCGCTGAAGCTTGAAGGCACGCTGGCCAAAGAGAGCCCTGTTCTGTTTTTGTCATCTTAACTCAAGTGTGCTGCTCTTGGGGTGCACAAAAAAAGGAGAAAAATAAAGCCAAGCCCTTTTGCAGCACACCGGGAAAAGGTCATTCGGAGACCACAGTACTTGGAAGGCAGCCCAGCTGCCTGGATTCTACTTCTAACTGTGCTCTTGGAGGCATTGAAGGAATAGACTTGTCTTTAAAAATTACATATAAAGGCAAATATCCGCAAACCTTTTCTTTTCAAACTGCTTACGGTAGCCTAACACTCCTGGAAGAAACTGGTCCTTCAGTCACCAGCTTCAAGTGGGAAATTTCCTACCTGCTGTCTTAAAACACTGAAGCACCAGAGATTATAGGGCTGATGTGTTCAGGCATTCATCAGCTTCAGGAAAACTTAACATGAAAAAAAAGGCTAAAATTGAAAGAAATCCCCAATGCCTCAAGAGCACTATATCAAACCAGAACTCTTAGGCTACTGACTGCCGGCACTGTCAGAAGCTGTTTGCTTCTGGGAAGACACCTGGAGGTTAAAGCCTTACGGTGATTTTGCATCCTCCCAGGGTGAGATTTGCTGAGCTTTACTGATTGTGAGATAAAGCAGTGTTTCAAAAAACTAAAACCAACAAACTCATAGTAACCATCACCAAAATCACCATTGGGAAAATTCCATTTGTTAGAAGGTCTCATTGAGAAACATCAGTCCCTGCCCCACAGAGCAGGATGGACACGATTAACAAAACCCAGAGTGACCCGTCCCCCGCAAGCCAGGCCTTCAAGGACTAATCCCCAAATTATATTGGAGGGGGAGAAAGAAAAATAAACTAAAAGAAGAAGGTTGTATCACCTTTTCCTCCTGTTAAAAGTTTTAATCCTCTTATTCCACTTTTATTTCTTTGTTTTTTTCCCCCAATTCTCCCTTCCACTCTGCCACCTTAGCTGGGGGAGTTATTGGTACAAGAGTTTGGAGAGTCCTGCTCATTTATTGTGTTCAAGAGTACACACACCGGCTGCCGGGGCAGGTGGTGGTGGCTGTGTTCACGGTGCTGCTCTTCCGCAGCACTAAAAAGCCCTTCCTCCTCGTCCCCGTGGGGGCGGCCGCTGCAGCTGTCGCAGAAGTCCAGGGGCCCATCCAGAGCATCATCGATGAGCCCGTCGAACTCCTTGAGGTCATCGTCATGATGGCCCCGGTTGCATACGCAGACTTCGATGCCCGAGTCACCAGTGAAACGGCGCTGCCTGCCCGGCGTCTTGTCCTTCGCATCGGGAATGGCGCTGCTCTGCTCCAAGCTCTCAGAGCTGTAACCTTTCAGCAGTTCCTCCTTGCACTCTGTATCCTTCTCGGGACCGGCCCTCTCCACTAGTTCGGCTCCCGTGCTGGTACCGCCAGGCTCGACGCTTTGCATTTTGGCAACTGCTCGCTCGACCAGTGTGGTGGTGGAGGGCTCGGGGTCCCCAAGGCCGGGGGATCCAGTGCTGTCAGTACTGCTGTTATTGCTGCTGGGCGCTGCTGAGCTGCTCTGTGCTGGCTGCAGGTTTCTTGGTGTGTCTGGGATTGTGCTACTGCTGCCTGCTGGGACGCACTGCTGATGTAAGGCACTATAGGGTGGCGGGGGTGTCGGCGGTCGGTTCACCACTTCCTCATAGGGAGGTAGTAAATAATTTGGCAAAAACCCTAAAAGGGGGAGGCAAGGAGGAGAAGTTACTTCACAAACAGCTTATTTCAGGAAATAAGTCATTACTGCAGGTCGGAATGTCATTTGTCATCTACCAGCACCTTCCCACTGAACAGCTCAACAGGCTTTACAAGGGGTGCTGAAACTTGGCCCAAATGAGAAGCTGCAATTGTGGGACAGGAGGGCACCATTACAGGAGGAGATGGACACAGCTGGAAACAGCAGCCTGATCTCCTGGCTCTCTAGTCCACACTTAGGGCTACCAGGCAAGCCTCCCCCCAACCCTGTACTCCAATACAGCCCCATAAACTACCCCAGGGGATGAACTGCATTGGCTGGAGGGAACAAGCTGGGAGATAACTTGCCAGCTGTCTCCAACACTGTGTTCTCAGCTGAGTTTCCACTTTCAAGAGCAAAGACTTCATCTCACAAAGCTTTTTGCAAATATAAGGAGACACGAGCAGTTACAAGGAACTTAGGATCCTGGCTTTTGGAGGTTGTTTTAGTGCTGGATTCAGTTTTTCTGATGTGGTCAGAATAAATTGGTAGTACCAGCAAAAGCATTTGGTTTATTGTACTTGCAGCCTCTAGAATCTATGAAAGACCTTGTTTATTTCTTAAGAGGCAACAGAATAGTCTATACAGACAGAGTAGACTTAAATACTACAAGCATTTAAAGACAGCACTGCAGTTTTCCATGTACAATTGCATATCCCCAGTGCTGGGGAGGAACAGCCTGCTAGGGATTATTTCTGAGGTGGCTGCAAGAGTTTAACCAGAAAAGCAAGTTCATACATGCAATTCAACAGTCCATTACAGGAAACTCAGTTGTGATACCTCCAGTCAAAAGGCCGAGACTTGCTGTTCTAGCACAGTGTAGCAGGGCATGAGGGAGAGCACAAAGCGACTGTACTTTCCCTGAGCCATGGGCAACAGCTCCTTTGTGTGAAGTCCTAGGGCTGCTCACCAGCAGTGTGGTCTGGGAATCAGCACGGTCCCTGCTGAGGCACCACTTCCACCCAGTCTGTGTGACTGAATTTCATGAAGCCACTTCCCACATCTCAGTCCCACCAGCAGCAAGTGCAGGCTGGAAAGGAGGAGTGTCCATAAAGTCCTGAATGAGATATTTTAAGACCCCTCCCAGAAGAACACGCAGGGAATGTCTGCACTTGCAGCACCAGAGGTGGGTGTGAGGTGCTGTAGCTGGTGTGGTTCGACTCAAGGGGGCTCAAATGCATCCAGGAGCTGGAATATGCCACCCCCTCTCTACAAGCCAAGGTCAGGCAGCAAAGCTGTCCACCACCTCTTGTGGAGCCCAAGCACTGCTCCCTGCTTCCACCCAACACGGGAAGCTCGCTGCTGCCCTGCACCCCACGACCTCCACGACCAGGAAAAAAGGTGAGAGATACTTACGGAAATAAAATGGCAGGGCTGAATAGTTATGGGCTTCCCGGTAAGCGATCAGGTTGATCTCATGTTGCCGCTGCTGGGCTTGAAGACGATGCTTGGTGCGCCGGTGATGGCAAACACAACAGCAGCTGAGGATGATGATGATGGTCCACACCAGCCAAAACCCTGAAGCGGTGGAGAGCAAGTGTTATTCACAGTATGAGAGCCACATCCAAACCCAGGAAACCCCACAAAGGCAATGGAGAAGAAAAGCCTGGATCTGAACCCTGCACTGCTCTAAAGACAGAAACTTGCATTGCGCCAGGAAGCTTTGACACATACCTGCCTGTGTGCGTGACTGCTACTCTGGCAGCCTCGACAGAATCAGGTAACTCTGTGCAGTTTGGTACAGTGCGGAGTATGTTTGACAAGCACAACTCTGGAGGAGAATGAAACATGGGGGCAAGACTAAGCTCCCCACCACTATTGCTCCCACCCCTTGGATATCATTTCTTCTAGCCAAAAATATGAGCAGAACTGTGAATAGCATTGAACTTGTCTCCCACAGCCACTTTGGTTTGAAAATAACAATCAAGACACACAAAAGACACTCTGCAGATCGACCACAGACGAAGAGAAAACCCCAAGCGCTATGTTTTGCTTTTGTTTGCACTGCTCTTTAATTTCCAGCCCAAATCCTTCATAGCTATGTTTAACAAAAACATAATCCTTTTACATAAATGTCTCAAAATATTTTAAAAACTTATTTTTGTATTCAATGTCTTAAATTATCCAAAATTAAATTAAACTAGCCCCCCACTCTGAATCCTCAAGAAACCTAACTTCTGCTCCAGCTGTGGTCACGGCTCGTTTCTATGCACTGTCATACCATACGTATGCTGTTCCTTAAAAGGGAATTTTAAAAGAACACTTCCTGAATTTTCTCCACTCCCTCCAAAACAATAACTCCCCCTTTCCGCGAACCCCCCTTCATGTTTGCATGCACTAGAAAAATGTTTCCAAGACACACTTCAATGAGCTACAACATTCACTCCAGATTAGGCTTTTGCCTCCTGCAACTACAGCCCACAGCTCTACCTGCCTCAGAGGTGTCTGTCATCTCCAGCTTTTTTAAGCTCAGTTTTTGCAGCTAAGGATACCAGGAGAGCTCCCCCTTTAGAAACATGTAGGCCTGGCAAACACTCCTCAGCAGAGATCACAACACCATTTTTCTTTTGGTAAGACTTTTCTGCCTCTCTTCATTATTCCCAAACTGTCTGGACAAAATGAAGACTCCTAGTGCTACAGCCCATTTTTAGGCCATGTGAGAAAAAAACTGCTTTTTTCTCCACAGTAAAAACCTCTGGTCTCACCTCTACAATACCTTGATGTTTTCAGCATCCCCTGCTGAGTTAGCGATGTTTTCTCTGCTAAGAGCTGGGTGGGGAAAGGTGAACAGTTTAGGAATTTGAAGAATGAGATGAGTATTGCTCTGGCTCAGGACAAAGTGCAATCGACCCATATCACCCATCTCAGAGCCCTGCATTGGGCTGTTTGTAGGGGAACTGGATATGCCGTATTGTGCCTCCGAGCATTTTGAGCAGGGACCTTCACCTCCCTGTGTCGTAATGCAAATTCTTCATGTACTCTGGCACAGCAAACTGAAATCTTACTCTTGGCTTGCGCAACCAATTTCCCCAATGGAGTGGATTTTGCCTTATGCCCAAACTTATCAAAACCTGCTATCAGATGAAGGTGTTACATGTTCTTTTTTTTGTTTTGGTTTGGTTTTTTTACTTGGCTGGAAATCAGGGTTCCTAGGCAGCTTTTCTAGCCAGCCGGCTCAGCTGTATCACAATGGGCAGAGAGAAGACTATGATCTTAGCTCCAGAGAAGCAAAGGACAAAGCACTAGAGGTGGCCTCTGCACTTCCTTCAAACCAAGCCGAGAAATTGTCCACTACTCTCTAATCACTCACCTGCTTTTAAATAAGCCTTTTTATATAGACTAAAAGAATTGGCCTCGTCCACCCTTCCCTACAAAGCCAGTCATTTGCAACCACCCCTGTACCCCTGCCCCCTGGCACCACCAGAACCTTGCCATGCAAACGCAATACACACTCTCTTGCAGTTTGAGGACTCCCACCAATACACTTCATTTCTTGCTAAGAGAAGATCCCTTGGCTCTTGCTTGCTGAGGAAGCAAGAACACACTCATCAAAACCAGGTCATAGGCACAGCATGCCACCATGCACTGAAGCAAGCCTGCAGTTCATCTTCTAAGTATTCCTTATTTTTGAAGAGCACTCCGTGATCATGTGTTCAAAAACAATGGAAAATTACACCCAGCTATCCAGGGATTTTAGCTCTACAGTTTTGAAAACTTTTTAAAGTTAAAAATGCTTTTTAACACATTTGATCATGTCCCTTCCCAAGAACTCTAGATCCAATGGTAGCAAGCAGCACTTAGTTAGTTAAGATGTCCTGGAGAACTGCCACTGTTAAGCAATTTCAGCTGTAACAGCCGAATTTTTCTGCAGGGAATAACTGCTCCCACCCAAGCCTGCATCCAGAAGATTAAAAAAAAGTATGTCTTTAAAAAATTTTTCTACCCATTCCAAAGAAATCCCAAAGTGCTTTGCAGACAAAACGATGCACAAGCTCAGAGTAGGGGTCAAAGTAAGCTCAGCCATTCCTGGGAAGATGTGCGGCAGCTCTGTAAACAACAGGCAGTAACAACATATAACAGTTTAGGATAATAAATTAATGTTGGATCCTACTGAAACCACAGGTGGCATTTTAAGTAAACAGATCATAATTTACTGCATTGCAATCTGGCCACAGTGCCAGGAACAACACCTCCATTCTCGTGCAAAGGGTCTATTGCATGCTCGCAACCACAAGTGGATGAGATCTGTTGTTTTTCATGGGAATTTCCAGAAAAAGAACCCACTAATACCACATTATTGCCTGGTTTCATTAACCGCTGACAATTCCTCAAGCTTCTAGGAATTACTCAACCCCTGACTCAGCACGAGCCCAAGTTCTTGCCCAGATGATCACAGGTGGTCAGCAGCATGTGCCCACCACAGCCATTTGCTGGCTGGGATTCTGGCATCCTCAACACCCCCACCTTGTCACACAACAGCACATCTGCACCACAGGGCCAAAAGTCTCCCTCTAGTACACAGGAAGCAATAGGATGGGACACCCCTAGGTGCTGAGGCACACGAGGGCCTCCTTGGTTGTTGCTTGAGCCAGGGTGCCAGTGCTGAGAGAAGGATCGGATGCAGCTCTGGTTGCAAGTCTAGCATGGTGCTGGGAGTCCAGGGCCTCCATAAAAGGCTCTACAACATGCCCTAACCAGAAGTCTGGGCACAGCTGTAAATTTGGCTGCAGAACAGAAAAACTTTAAAGCCTAGCAAATATATAGTACAGTCCTTTATTTGGAATAAAGCTATGCATACAAAGCCAAGTACACTTGTAAATATTATGTCTAAAAGTATGGAGTTAACAGTGAAGATGTCCAGGGCTGAGCTGTGCATTTGTATACCTGGTGATGGTTGGCTTCAAACCAGCAGCAGGGAGGTAAGCCTAGCAGAGCACTGGCCCATGCACCCAGCAGCTCCTTTGGCAGGAGAGGAAGAAGGGGAATTTCAAATTCACCCAAAGACAACACTACATATGCAGGAAATATGTAGGCTGAGCACAGTAGCAGTGCACACTAACACCTCGTTCATGGCAAAAGCAGGCACCAGCTCTGCCTCGTGCTGAAAATGGGTGAGATGTGCAAAGGCAACAGAAGTTTGGCATTAAAAGGCCTCTAAAAGCCAGGTAAAACTGGGCTTCAAGTTGCCTTCACCATTCCCAAAAGCCTTCCCTATGCTCAACATGTGTCTCCTTCCCAAATGGACACAAACTGATTTTCAACTGCACTGTGCTGAGCTATTGCTGCAGTCACTAGAAAAGGAGGAAAGGTTGGGAGACACCGGGCATCCTGAGTCGAGTTTGCCATTAAATGTCTGATCTGAGAGAGACTATTTCACACTGCTAACCTGGCAGTGACCACGGGAAAAAAAAAGCTCGTGGCAACCTGAGGGCAACATGACAGGCAGAGAGCAAACAGGGTCACTGGAAAAACCGCTGGTGGACAGCACCGACAGAAGCGATGCACTAGTTTGCAGCTAAACATGCATCAGGGGATCACTGGACTTGAAGGCAATTTCAGGTTTGCTCTTGGTTTATGGAAGAGTCAGAAGCTGAAACACTCTCCTGTCCAAGAAAGGCTGAGTCCTGAGAAACACTGCTGTGTTTTCTGTCAAATTCACTGATGATGCCAACGGGTGGATAATGAAGAGGTTGAATCAACCAGAGGTTGAATCAGCCACAGCCAAGGAGCTGAGTTTTGTCAAGAGATTTCCCTGACAGAATATCAAAACCTTTCATAAAAACAAAAAAGTACCACCAACCTCTTACCCAGCATCAGTCAGGCTCAGAGATGTAAGCTCTACATGAGTGGCAAGCTCAGACAGTCAGAACAGGAGCTGCAGAAAGACCCGGGAACAGAATTAACTCCCATGAAAGCCATCTCTCAGAAGCAGAGAAAATACCGAAGAAAGAGAAGGCTGATATGTTTACAGTGTCCTTGGGAAAGGGAGCCCCATCACATGGTCACACACCAGAGATGTCTTCTACCAGCTGTGAAAGAACAGGCTTAAATCTTCAAGAAAAACTTTTCTGGGACACTGACCATAGTTTTGCTCAAACTTAAGAATAATTAAGAATAAAAAAACCCCAGAGCATTCCCCTCCTCGTGAAAAAGTGGGGAGCAGCGTTCAGTCTGATGCTGTACTGTATTTGCTGTCTGGGATGTTGCCATCAGCATTCCCATAGAGGGAAGCTCCTTTTATCCTGTGCAAAATGGAAAACGTTTTCTGGAGCGTTCCAAGGGTAGGAACAGAGAAATCTGCCCTCAAGTTCATGGTAAACTTGGGCAAATGCCATTGCTCTGTTGGCAGGAAGTCCCCTAAAAGCAAGCCAAAACATACTGCAAAGTGTTTTTGTGTCTGCCTGACAAGCATCTGGGTAATAGCTTTGGCTCCATGAGAGCTGGTTATGAACAGAAGGAGAAGTGGGACAATTTCATTGACGAAAAAGTTATGTCCCAAATGGTGGCCTCACAGTCAG